TTCAGAGCCTTTCTAAATTTAGAGTGGTTTAATCGATGGATAAATGTTGTATCTGTTCCTCCTCAGTCTTAATATTTTTTCATTTTACATACCATTTCCAGTGGCCACTTCCTCCTCTTTTTCCACCACCGACCTCTGCCCATCCCATTCCCCATCCACTCCTCAGAGTTTGTAAGCTTCCCTTTGGGAGAAAACAATATCTGGTATACCATTTGAGACAAGACCAAGACCGTCTCCCTATATAAATCTGTTCAAGTTGTACCACCATAGGGAATGGGCTACAAAAGGCCAACTCATGTACCCAGGGTATGTCCTGGTCCCACTGCCATGGGTTCCCCAAACAGAACAAGACACAACTGTCACACATTCAGAAGACTTAGTTTGGTCCCATGTAGTATCCCTAACTGTCAATCTTGAGTCCATGAGCTACGACTAGTTGGGGCACCTGTCTTTGTGGTTTTCTCATTGATGATCTTGTTGCCCCTTGCTCAGATGATCCCTCCTCCTCTTTGACTAATCTCCAAAAGCACAACCCAGTGCTCCACTCTGGGTCTGTTCTTCTGCTTCCATCAGTTAGTGGATGCAGGTTCAATGATGACAATTATAATAGTCACCAATGGGATTATAGGAGAAGGTCAGTTCAGGTACCCTCTCCACTATTTCTAGGAGTCTTAGTTGGGGTCATTTTTGTGAATTCCTGGCAATTTCCTTAACACCTGGTTTCTCTCTCACCTCATAATGTCCTGCTCTTTCAAGATAACTCTTCCATTGCTCTCTCTCTCTCCATTGCTCCTCCAACTCAGCCATCTCAAGTCCTCATATTGCTGTTCCCCGTTCCTTCCCTTTCCCCCTTCCATGTCCAATAAGTAGATCTTAACTATTTTTTCCCTGGGACTCTCCATGTATATCCTTCTTATTTTTTTAATCTAATTTCATTGGGGTTGTAAATTTTAATCTGGTTATCCATTGCCTTTATGTTTAATATCCACATACCATGGTATCTTTCTGGGTCTATGAACATAGTTGACCAAATATCTTTGTGGTATAAATGGGCATCCTTTGGGTATGTGCCCAAAGGTTATATTGTGGGAGTCTTCATCTATATTGATTCCCAATTTTCTGAAAAACGACCATACTGATTTCCAAAGTGCTGTACAAGTTTGCACTCCTATCAACAGTGGAGGAGTGATCCTCTTACTTTACATCCTCTCCAGCATGAACTGTTATCAGTGTTTATGATCTTAGCCATTCTGACAGGTGTAAGATGGTATATATAAAAGTTATTTTGATTTTCATTTTCCTGATGGCTCAGTATGTTGAATATTTCTATAAGTGTCTTGTGGCCATTTGGAATTCTTCAGTTGAGAATTTTCTGATTAGATCTGCATCCTATATTTAATTGAATTATTTCATATTTTGATGTCTAGTGTCTTGATTTCTTTACATATTTTGGAGATAAACCCTTTATCAGATACAGGGTTGTTGAAGACATTTTCTCATTCTCTTCACTGTCCTTTTTCTTATTCACCATGTCCCTTGCCTTACAGAAGCGTCTCAGTTTCAGGAGGTCTCATTTATTAATTGTTGTTCTCAGTGTCTGTGCTACTACTGTAATATTTAGGAAGGGAATCTCCTGTTTTCATGTGTTCAAGGCTACTTGTGACTGTCATAGTCATAGTTATATTTTATTTCTGTTTTAATAAATAAAGCTTGCTTGAAGATTAGGGTACAAAACTATGCTGCTAGATGCCAGAAAGTAGTGGTACTAGGAGGGAGAAAATAGAAGACCACTGACTTTGAAACCATTCCAGAGTACAAACCAATGACCACACAGAGAAACACTGTTTCAAAATTCAAAGGAAGAGAAGGTCAGCTTAGCTAAATAGATATTGACACTGATGGCTATGGGGGCTTTGAGAGTCGCTTTTTCCGGGAGGATATCTACTAGTAGGTTGCCCACAGTGGAAAAGTCTCTTGATAGCATAGTATGGACTCAGTCAGCATCCTCAAACTGCCAGATCTTTAAAATCTGTATAGGTGCAGTTTTATGGCAAGGACTCACCCAAGAGTGTTGAAAATTGTAAGAAAGGAGTTTCCTTAGACAGAAGAGTAGGGAAAAAGGTTGCCCGAGGGGTTTACACTTCAGGTGCCATTGCTGTTCCAGACTTTATCATTCTCTGGACCAAATAACACCAGGGGAACCTTCAGTTGGGGTCTCTGCATATCCTCAAAGTAGGTAGTTTTTCAGTGCTCCTACTCAGGAACACAGAAGCCCAAGTTACATTCACCATTCTGTGCTTCTGATGTTTCTAGTTGTCCCACCAAAAATCTGTTGCCCTCTGAACACACAGCCGCAGACACTTGAACTCAACATTGCTTCCCTCCGTACGACAAAGCCTAAAGAAGTAACATGGGTAGCAGCCTATGACTATGCTCCCTTTGGACTGTTTATCCATTTTATTAATAAGGTCTCAGTGATAAACTGTTCTCACTCTGCTTTCTCTGCATTATCTAATAAAACACTTTAAGGAAGTTCTTATATGAACTTTATTGCCAATACACTTAAGGAAGCTGGTCTTCTGGCAATTCAAAGCTATTTAGGGCTAGTCAGTACTCCCTACCTGCCTTTTCCACAAAGACACTGCCTTCATTTTGCTCTGTACATTCTAAACTTGTGACATAAAAGGAAAAACAGGACTTTGAGGCAGGAGACAGCTGCAAATGGGTTTGTGCACAGGAATTGGTATAGGACTGGAATAGAAAACTCAAGGATAAGGGATGAGACAACAGTTCATTGCTCAGATCTATTTATCAGTTCATCTTTCACAAGTCAGAATAGCCAAGAATAAAAAAAGAAATCATAACAAAATTGTGTCTAGGGTTCAGAGAGACAATTCTGTAGTCAAGAGTGTTTGCTGCTCTAGAATTGAGTCGTGTCTCCCAAGTGCCTGTTGCCTCATATTCAGGGTGTCTGACACTTTCCTTGGGCCACCACTGGAACAAAAACTGCTATGGGGACATACCATAGACAACTGAAAATGAGGTACATCCGTAACAGAAAGTGCCTACATAAATATCTTGGAGAGCTCATACTAGTAACTTGGCAACATGCCTGAAACAAGGAGAAGAAAATCTCACTCAAAATGAGTAGAAGATAAGGTATACTCACACTGCTTTCTCTTCTTTCAGTTTTTGACAATATCTAGTTTTAATCCACAGTATTCAGATAAAATGCATCTGTTCTTTAGGGTAGAAATTCTTCTTCTTTGAGTGTATTAAAATTATTCCTGTGCCTTTGACCTTGATTTTTTTCTTATTGTCCTGGTTTTCCGTATGGTCCCATGGATGTCCAGTGCCAAGAGAGTTTAGATTTAACATTTTCTTTGAGCTACATATCCATTTCTTCTATTGTGTCTTCAATGAGTGAGATTCTTTCTTTTATAGCTTGCATTATGTTGATGAGCCTCATCTCTCACGTAAGATTTGAGTTTCAAGTTTGTCATTTCATATTTATTTTTGCTTTGGGAGAAAAGGCTTTATTTCATTTTACATCTTATATCGTCCATCACAAAGGAAAGTAAGACCTCATAAAGGAAAGTAAGAACTCAAAGCAGAACGTGGAAGCTGAACGTGAAGCAAAGGTATAATGAATGCTTCTCACTGGCCTGTTGTCATATTAATGTTCATTTATTTTTACTATACCTCCATGACCACCTACACACAGACGGCACTCCCCACAATGCACTGGGAACTCCCACATTCACCATTAATCACAAATATGACACATATCTGTACATACAAACAAATCTTTGAAAGAATTTTCTCAATTTCCCCTTCCCAGATGACTCTAGGTTGTATCATGTAAATAAAAGAAAAAAAACCTAAGCAGTTCAGCTGGGCAGCCAAGGCTCATGCCAATAATCCCAGCACTTGGGAGGCAGAGGCAGATGACTGTTTGTTTGAGGCCAACTTGTTCTACAGAGTGAGTTTTAGAACAGACAGTGCTACACAGAGAGACCCTGTCTTGAAAAACCACAAAGAAGCAAAAACAACAACAGAAAACAGTTGAATTTGTCAACCTTCTTGATGATTTCAAAGACAGAAATCATCATTTTATTGATTCTTTGTGCTGTTTTTGGTATTGTTGTGGCTCCTGTGTCATTAATTTCAGCCTTGATTTTGATCATGCCTTCCAATCTGTCACTTTCAGGTGTTACTTTTGTTTGTTTTTCTTAGGCCTTCAGGTCCATTATTAATTATTAATTTGAGATATCTCAAATGTTTTGGTGTAGGTACTTAATTCTATAAACAGTAGAAGGAACTTATAGGATGCTTTCTGGGTTAACTTATTTGGTATCTGTCCCTCATCACTAGGAAATGTTCCTGTTTGAGGCTTCCTGTACAGCACAGTGTGCGGTCCTGAAGACTGAGAATACCTCGACACTTGATACTGTGGGTTATCTTCTCGACCTGGGCAAAGTAAGGTCTCTGTCTCCCGTTCAAGATCTGTTCCCACGCCTCACCCGCTATCCTTCCTGGACCATTGCTTCCGGGTAATTCTGTTTTCCCCGCACTCAGTCAAGAAGTGCATTCCTGACAAATTCTTTAGTTGGCACATTGGGACCTAGTTCTTACTCTGCTTCCACTAACTCGGGACACTTCCTGTTATGGTCCTGGGTTTTCTTTAAGGGCACTGAATCTGGGCTGTTCAGAGCCAATCTGTGCACTATTTTATATGGAATAAAACTAGGATCCACTGACTACACAGGGAAGCGAGTCTGTATGCTAAAATCTCAAATGCTGTTCCCCTTAAGTGCAATTATCCCTCAGGCTTATTCTAAGGGGAAAGCCTGGTTTAAGATTGGATGTTGATTTTTTTGCCCCTCCCCCCACCCCACCCCCCCCACCCCACCCCCACCTCCCCCACCTCCCGCGACGGGAAAGGATGTTGGCCCCGCTACTCTTGAATAAGAAGGCGGGTTCAGCATCTTGCGCCAATCAGGGACGCTGTTACTTCCTTGCTGGAAATGTCGAATGAGGAACAAGAATGTCCCGCGGTTTCCGCCCCTGGCTCCATTTTTGAATCCCAAGTAGCTTTTGTGAGGTGTGTGACAGCTGGCTTCCGTCGGTGTCACCTATTCTGACGGCAGGCCCCTCCGAGAGGACCTCTGCACGCGTCCGGAGCAGGACATGGTGAGTGCGCGGTGGCTCCTGGAGTCGTTGGTGCAGCCTGGCGCCGCCGACCGGACGGTCCCTGGCGCTGTGCAGCAGACTCAGGGGTGGAGTCTGGCACAGGCGGAGCCGGCAGCCGGCTGTGCAGTCTGCTCATGTCCTGTTGCTGCGGTGCTGGCTTCATCCCAGTCCCCAGCCTGTCGTGGGGAATCCGCGGGACTGGAGACTGGAGTTCGGACTGTGTAGAGAAAGGACGCGGGTGGTGAACGTTGCTGCCCGTCTGCCCTGGCACACTCGTTTCCGACCTGTTTTTATCGTTTTCTGTAATCTCTTTGGTGTTGTATTGGTTTTGCTCGAGGCTGCTTTTCCAAACAGAAGGGGCCTGTGCCGCAAGTTTATTTTTATTGTATTTTTTATTTTTTCGGCCTTGCTGTCCTGGAAGTCCATAGTAGCTGTCGATGACCTTGAAGTTGTGATCCTCCGTTCACCTCCCAAGTTTTAGGGTTGCGAGGAATGAATCACCACACTTGGTTTAATGTGGTGCTGGGGAGGAAACAGATGGAGGGAGTCTCTGCATATTAAGCAAACACAACCAAGTGAGCCCTGCTGCATAATTTTTAAAGCAGATCGTTTTTCTCCCTCAGATTTAGGCATGAAGATCCTAAACCCTTCTGAGTTTCCTGAGCAGCAGCCGTGGCACTGATTGCTTAGCATAACCCTCTTGTGTCTAACACTGAATGCATTCTAATAAGGTTATTGAAAACTTTGTTTGAGACAGCATTTTTCTATGTAGCTTTTGCTGGCCTGGAACTTGCTATGTAGATGAGGCTGGCCTCTGACTAACCAAGGTCAGCCTACCTCTGCCTCCCAAGTGCTAGGATTAAAGGTGGATGACACCATACCCAGACTTTGGGTATAAATGTTCAAATATGTTATCGTAAATTTTGGGCTGTGTATTGTGATGTCTCCTTTTTCATCTCTCATTCTATTAATTGGGCTTTTTTTCTCTCTTGTTTAATTTGGCTATGGGCTGTGAACCATGTTTATCTTTTCAAACACCAACCTGTAATTTTGTTGATTCTACTTTTTAATTTATTTTTTACATTTAGTTTGCTTTACTTACCATGAATGAGTGTTTTGCCATCAAGAAAGAATGTGGATCATGTTTGCCAGGTGCAGAGAGGTCAGAAGAGAGTATTAGATCCCCCCTGGAAATGGAATTATAGGTGGTTCTGATCCACGATGTTGGTCCTGAGAACCCAGCTGAGATCCTCTGTAAAGGCAACCCATGCTCTCCTGAGTCATCTTTCCATCTCGGAGGGATATTTTTTTTTTAAATTCTCACTTTTGTTTCATTAATTTCAGCCTTGATAGTCATTATTTCTTCCATTTAGTGAATTGGAGTTTGGGTTCTTGTTTTCCAAATAGCTAAGGTCCTTCTTTTGGTTGTTCATCTGAGATCTGATGATATGAAAAACATATATTTTGTTTAGTGTGCTCATGTGTGTGTGTGCATGCCAAAACTAGTGAAACGGAGGTTTTCCTGATGTGTACAGAAAACAGCAGCGTCAAATAGGATGTTTTCCGTAGGCCATGCTCTTGAGATGTCCAGAGTGAAGATCTGAGAGGGGAAGGAGGGAATCCCTCTTGTGTGATTTTGTTGTTGTTGTTACTGTCTTTTGGGGGGTAGGGAGTCGGTTTGGTTTTTTCCAAGACATGGTTTCTCCGTGTACACCTGGCTGCCCTGAAACTCAACTCTACACCAGGCTGACCTCTGCCTCCCCAGTGCTGAGATTAAAGGTGTGCGCCACTACCATCCAACCTCTCGTATACTTTTTTTAGGATAGGAAAATGAGTTATAAATGAACTTCTTAGTACTGTCTTCATTGTATTTTATCTGTCTGCTCACATCATGGCTTCATTTTCATTTAATATAAGGAAATACTTGATCTCCTTATTTCTTCATTGACACATTCATCATTCAGTAGTGTGTTATTTAATTTCTATGAGCTTGTAGATTTTCTGTAATTTCTGTTGCTATTGGCTTTCAGTCCTATTGCATTGTGATGAGCTAGAATACGAGACATTGTTTTAGGTTTCCTCTATTTGTGGAAACTCGCTTTGTATCCTCATATAGAGACTTTCCATTAGATGCATAGAAGTGTGTGTATTCTCTTGTGTTTGAGTGGAATATCCTTTATGTATTTAGCTGGTCAATCTGTTTTATGGTGTCATTCATTCTGTTTGCTTGTTTGTTTATTGTCCTTTTGAGACTCAGTCTCAATTATGTAGCTCCAACTGGCCTCAAACTTGCTGTGTAGACCAGGGTGACCAGTAATTTATGGAGATCTACCCGCATCTGGCTTCTGAGTGCTGGGATTAAAGGCATACCAGACCATAGCTGACCTCATTGTGTCATTAATTACAGATTTTCTCTGTTTTTTCTTGCCTAGTTCAATAGTTGATTGGTGAGTTGGGTATTGAAGTCACTGAGTATAAGCTGAATTTGAATTACTATGTGACTTTATACGTAGTTGTTTTGTGATGACATTCTATTGGAGATGTGACCAGTCATCTGTTCAAGCCAGACAGGAAACCAACAATAGACTAAAGTATGGCTACTACCAAAGTCCAGCTTGGTGAACCAGTGAGTTTCATTGGAGCTATTACAGAAATATAAGTGAGGAATTACAGGGTCAGAAATGAATTAAAGACAGCTGCATTACCAAAGCCAACTGTAGCATGGGCAACAGCTCAGGAATGCCAGTCATCTAGAGAGCCTTGCAAGCCTGTGGGCTGTTCAGCAGGTTGGGCACTGCTCTTTGCTGATAGTTCAACTGGTCTGACTCTTTACCCAGCAGGTTGGCTGGTCTCTGCTTTTTCCAGGCTTCTCTGTTTGTAAGAAGGAACCAAACTGAAGCCAGTTTGAATAGAACTTCCATTTTGAATAAATGTCAAATGAAGTTTAACTTTCCAAGACCTTCCTGGGTGACCCAGATCCTGGTTGGCAAGTTGAGGCATTAATGCTGGGCAAATTGTCCAGCCACAGGAGTAAGACAACCAATGAGAAGAAATATCCCTAGGAAAGCTCCTGTTCCCTGAATTCTGATTGGTGGAAAATGTAACTGTAACTTGACACAGATGTTTGTGTGTTTTATGCTTTCAAAGCTCTGTAATGTTCTGCTTCAGGGTCACAGTTCTGTTCCCAAATCTGTTCTGCATCCCTGATCGATCAGCAGCAGCTTGATTACAATAAATATTAGTTTTCTGCACTTACTTGTTGTTTGAATTATGTTGCATTCGATCAGACCCCATAACATGCTGGTCTGAACCTCTTCCAGGATCTCCGCTGCTCTGAGAGTCTTTGTCTGGAAATATCTTTTTGAGACAGTGTCTCACTGTGTAGCTTTGACTGTTCTGCTAATCATTATGTTAACCAGAATGGCCTCGATCTACCTGCCTCTGCCTCCTAATTGCTAGGATTAAAGACATGCACCACTATGTCTGATTATTAATAGCTCTTAATGTTAATGTCTTAATTCCTGCCAGGCGGTAGTAGCACACACCTTTAATCCCAGCTCTTGGGAGGCAGAGAAAAGCAGATCGTTGGGTTTGAGGCTGGCCTCATCTACACAGTGAGTTCCGGCACAGTTAGTGCTACAAAGAAAAAGTATGCCTCATGGGGAAAAAAAAATCTTAATTCCTACCTGATAGTCAATAATGGATACCATTTCTGTAGGGTAAAAGAAATTTAAACTGGTCTTCCATGCAAATGAACCAAGAAGGCATAGCTATTGTGTATCTGATAAAATCAACTTCAAACCAAAACTCTTCAAAAAGAGATATAGTATCATTTTATACTCATAGGAACACTCGTAAGAGGAAACTGAACATTAACATGCACAACAAACACAGGTACCCAATTTTGTAAAAGACATACTACTAGATCTAAAATTACAGGTAATATATGACTTCAGTAACCTAGTCTTATCAATTGATTGATTCTTCTGGATGAAAAGCTAAACAAATCAGTGAAACAAGTAGACATGTACTAGACCAATACAGCCAAACACTGAAGAATACACAACCATATTCGGACAGGAAGAGATCTCTACAAATATAGAGAAATGGTAGCCTATTTGTCAAGTGGACTAAAGGTGGTTATTATCAGCAATAGAATTACAAAAAGTACAGACTCTTGGAAACTGAGCAACATTCTACTAAATCATAATTAGATCAAGGAACAAATCAAGAAAGAAAAATTTAAATTCCTAAAATTAATGAAAAACCACGGTGTAAACAAGTCTATGAAACAGAATGAAGACAGTTTTAGGTTTATAATATTGGTGACTAACATTTAAAAAAATTGATATCTCACAAATTGGTAAATTAATGATGCACCCAAAGTTCTTGGAAAAATAAGAAAAAAAAAGAAGGACGTCTTCATGTTTTATTTCTTTGGAGTCAGTCTTTCTTTTTCGATCCTTTTTTTTCAATAATTTATTTTGATACAAAATATTGTAGCCCAGGCTGGCCTCAATCTAATGATCCCCTTTTGTAGTTTCATGACTATCAAGATCGTAGGTATGCATCTCAATGCTTGGATTAACCACCTGTAATTATAGGGTCATTGGTAGCAAATCTTAAAACTTAACAAACGACTGAGGTTTTTCCATGCTCATCAGTTTTTCACATAACAAGGCATTATTCCCTATTGAGGAGTGTTAGCTCACAGAATCATAGCCAATGTATACAGTGAGAGAAGGGAAAGGAACGCTAGAGAGGGTCAGAAAGTGCATGAGTTGCAAGTACAGGATCAGCAGATATGTCAGCAACTTCCATCCTACAATATCAGAGCACAGCCCATTGAAAATGACCTGCTTTGCTGCTCCTGTTTTTAGTAATTTTAGTTCAAGGTCTTTCTCGATCCCTCTCTTCAATAACCTTCCTAAAATATCCAAACTGTGGGTGTGAACAGGGTTGGGTTACCAATTATTATTGAAAGGAAGATTTGGTGGCTGAGCATGCACAGAGGGTTCTGCATTTTGACTGAAGGGGACATTTGGAAAGCCTTGCTCCTTGCATATGCCTTTCCCATCATGCCTCTGATTTTAATCATATGCCTCATTCACAGGCAAAGTGCTAAAAAGACTTTCCTTAGATGCTAATTTTGAAAACACATTGTGACTAAGGTACATGAGCCCCAAAATGACACATAACTTTCAGGCTATTTTCCACTGTTAGCAGATGTGTATCAAAATGCAATTGAAAAGATATAAGGGATTAATAAGGAGTCTGAGGGGCTAACGCATTGCCATCTTTTTTTCAAAACATGAAACCTGATAGGGGATGTGGTCCAAGGTTATATACAGATGATTGTTCAAAGAATACTCACAGGGTGTTGGGTGCAAAACCCAAGTAAAGTCTCAGGTTGTTTCTCTTGTTCTGTCTTACTATTCTCCCAGGGCCTAGAATTAATTTCATACCAATTACAGCTGCTTTCTCATCATCTCGTGTCTTAAAATTTTAAGCTTGCTCCTACTCTTTTCACTTACTGAAGTACTTCATTATTTTTCAACATAAGTTTTTTTAAGTTTCTGGTCCCAGGGCAAAATGAAGCTAAGTTCTTGAACAAAATAACAAAGTAATGCCCCCCACACACACCTTAGTTCGAAACTAAATCCTTGTTCTACTCTGAGCCTTCCTGATCTGTGCCTCTTCTGTAAGCATTTGTTTCATCATTTTTGTATGTATAGCATCTACCTAAATGATTCACTCAGATTTGCTTTTTCTAATATGCTGATCACTCTCTCTTGTTCACTCTCTTTCTCTTTGCCTCAAGAAAAAACCAAGACACACACACACACAAACACACACACACACGTTCAAATTGCCCAGAGAACCTGGTCACGCTTTTTTTCAACAATGGCCCCACTTTTTTGTGTCTGTTCCTATATTAGGGTTTTCCTATTATTGTGATAAACTATCTAACAAAATGAATTAAGGCAGAAAAAGATTATTTCTTCTCATACTTGAAGGGTTCAGTAAATCATGATAAAAATCTTAAAGCAAGAGTGTGAAACAGATGGTCGAATCATCTTATGGGATAATGCTTTTGTATACTGTAAAGATTTGTCACTCATTTGGTTTAGTAAAATGCTGATTGGCACATAGCCAGGTAGGAAGTGTAGGTTGGGCCACCAGACTAAGAGAATTCTGGGAAGAGGTAAGGCAGAGAGCCAAACACCATCCAGGCAAGGAGGAAGTAGGATGAGAATGCCTCATTGAGAGAAGGTTCCAAGCCACATGGCTTAACATAGACAAGAATTATGCTTAATTTGAGTTCTAAGAGCTAGATAATAATAAGCCTGAGTTGTATATATTTAATATAAGCCTCTGTATGTTTCTTTGGTACTTAACACTGCAGGACCAAGGTATAGAAACTTCTGTACATAACCACAATCAAGAATGAGTGCCTGGATGTTCAATTCATTCTTCCTCTATTATAATCCTTCATACAAGTCAGAGATTGCTTCCACATACCGTGAGTGGTTTTTCTCACATTAATTCATGTAATCCCTATAATTCCTCTTGTTAACCTTTATCTGCATAACTACTTAGAAGTGTCTTCTGTAGCACATGCACTCGATGGCTCTGCCTCCTGTCAACCTGTCAGGTAAAACCGCCCATCCTAAAATGTTTTAGGAGCCCATAACTTTTGAGGATTTGGCTGTGAACTTCACCTCAAGTGAGTGGACTTTATTGGATTCTAGTCAAAGGAAGCTCTACAGAGATGTAATGAAAGAAAACTATGAACCTGATCTCCATAGATAAAACACACTATGATTCCTTAGCTTATTCATTCAGACAACTGTTTCCTGCTTATGTGTATAGTGGTTTCTGGCTTGAAATATCAAAAGGAAACATGGAATGAAGTTAAAGTGCCTGGTCACATCATAAAATTTAGAATGTAATAAATTTTTATAATGTTGACTAAGTCATGATTTCTTTGGGTTTACTTCTAGAGAAAACACATGAAGAAAATATTGAAGAGGACTACCAGAGTCTCAAGAGAAATCTGGGGTAACTTATACTCAAGAGAGAGGAATTTACATCAAACATTTGGGGATGATAAGATACCTGAGAACCTAGTATATTATCTAAATATATCTCATTTTAAATTAATTTTAATGTTGATGTTTATAAAACTGCAATTGGATGTGATCATTCTGAATTTGAATATCCTGTCTCTGTAATTTCTGAATGTCACCAAAATGTGCTGCATCATTTAACGATGTAAGAGCCTTTTCAGTGATTCGTTACATAAAAACGTCCTCATACTCAGAAGTATTTGATGTCTTTTTATGATGCTTTCTCAGGGCTTTATATATAAGGGATGTTTGTTGTTGTTATCTTGGTTTTTTAGATTTATTCATTTTTTATGCATGCTTTGTTTGCATGTATGTCTGTGTTCCACATTTATGTAGTACATGTGTAGTAGAAGAGAGGGCCTGCTTTTGGTCCCGGCCGCCTGGCTAGCAAACACCCGACTTAATCACACTGAAACTGTATTCATTAAATCACTGCCTGACCATTAGCTCTAGCCTCTTATTGGCTAATTCTCACATCTTGATTGAACCCATTTCTAATAATCTGTATTTCACCAAGAGGTCATGGTTTATCGTGCAAGAATCACCATGTCTGACCTGGCCGCTGGCTCCATGGTGGCAATCTCTATCTGGCCTTCTTCCCAGCATCCAGTTCTGTCTAGTCCGCCTACCTAATTGCTGCCCTGTCAAAAGGTCAAGGCAGTTTCTTTATTCAACCAATGAAAGAAACACAAATACAGAAGGACCTCCTACAGCATTTCCCCTTTTCTGTTTAAACAAAAAATGAAGGCTTTCATTTTATCATAGTAACAAAACAGTTATCAGCAAGAATTATGGTTATAATTTTTATATCTACTTTATCTTTTATCATAACTAAGGAAAACTATGACTATAATTATCTATCTATTCTTCAGCTCTATCAAAGACTTCATATTTTCTATGTAAATTGGAAGTGCATTATAAGCAACTTCCAAAACTCTAGAAATGACAGAGACATCTTACTTCCTGGACAGTCACTCAAAGTTTTTCTGTACCTTTGGGCCATCCATCTTCAGCCAACAGGCCCATAGTAACCAGCAGACATTCCCATGAAACAGGAAATTTTAAAGATAGCTTAGTCACTTTTTTCTGTTTTCTGCAGAATGTCTTGGAGATTCTTTTATGAAACAGGAACCCCAAAGGATAATCTCATCTTTTGGCAAGTTCAGCAGTCATCTCTCTGCGGTTTCTTTATGTCCTATTTATGCAACAGTTCAGGCAAGAGCAGTTTCTTGCCCAAATGGCTAACCAACTCCATAAGGAGCCTCTTCGATGCCTATCTTCTTCTTGAAGTAGATTTATGCTACCAAGAACAGACACGTCTCATTGTCATGAAAAGTCATAGCTCTAGCCTCTTATTGGCTAATTCTCACATCTGGATTTAAACCATTTCTAATAATCTGTATTTCACCAAGAGGTCATGGCTCACAGGAAAAGATTAAGCATCTCTGACCTGGCGGCTGACTTCATGGTGGTAATCTCTGTCTGCTCTTCTTTTCAGCATCCAGTTCTGTCTACTCCGCCTACCTAATTGCTGCACTATCAAAAGGCAAAGACAGTTTTTTTATTCAACCAATAAAAGCAACACAAATACAGAAGGACCTCCTACATCATACATGAATACATTTTAACCTCTTCTAAGGGCCAAAAAAGGGTATAAGACCTCCCTCTCTAGCTACTGTTTATCTTAACTACTGTTAAACTGCCTGCTGGGGCAAAGCTCCCACTGTACTGTTGAGCATGATTACAGGATGTGGGATTTGGTCCAAATGCTTGGGACTATACTTAGGTGTAGCAGGAGTGGCAGGCTGCATCCCGGCTAGCTTAACCCCCGAAATAACCACATGGAAATTGTATTAATTAAATTACTGCCTGGCCCATTATATTTAGCCTCGTTTTGGCTAACTCTTATATCTTGATTAACCCATTTTTATTAAATCTGTATATCACAATATCACTGTGCTTACTGACAAGATTCTAACTTACATCCATCTCAGGCTGGAGATTCATGGTGTCTGCCACACTGCCCTTCTTCCGAGCATTCTGTTTTGTCTGCTCTGCCCACCTAAGGGCTGCCCTATCAAAAGGACAAGGCAGTCTCTTTATTCAACCAATGAAAGCAACACACAAACAGAAGAACCTTCTACACCACTTAGGGCCTGAATAACAGTATAGTCTCAGCTGGCTGAAATAAATCCTTTTAGTTGGATATTTTAAAAAAAAAAAAAAAGGAAGAAAGAAAAAGAGTGTGTAAGATCCCCATCCCCTGGTGCTGCAGTTACAGACAGTTGGGAGCCACCTGTGGTGCTGGGAACCAAGCGTGGTCTCTCTGGAAGACCATCAGTCCTCTAAGCGTCTGACTTACCTCTTTAGCCTCAGAAGAGCTTTTTTTAATTTCTTTTTATTGCTGAGATAAACACTAGGACAGAATCAGAGATTATAGAAGGACACTGCTTACTGGGTTGCTCCTCAACACTTCCTCACCTTCATTTCTTATAGAACTCAGTCCCATATGATAATAATGGGTGGTACCACAGCAGACTAGGTCCTCACATATCAATTATTAATCAAGAAAATACCCCCACAGACTGCCAACAGGCAAATCTGATGGAACCATTTTCCCAATTGAGGCTCCCTCTTCTCAGATTACTGTGGCTTGTGTCAAGTGGACAAAACCCTAACCAGCACAATTGACTCCTTGTGATCTTGACATACAGATTTACCACTATTACACCATAACTTTTCCTTTCCTGTTTGTCCCTATGATCTCATGTTATTATAACAATATAAATCAGAGCATAACTGTAGGAATCCCACAGTCTTAAAAAATTACACACTTTAAATATTTAGTGTCTCTTAAATCCAAAATGTCTCCTCTCTTGGCTCCTGTAAAATCAAGTATATGATATACACTTCTTATTTCAAAAGGAAAGAAGCAGAGCACAGGTACAATTAGCTCAAAGCAAACCCCAAATTCAACATTGTTAATCATATTCTGTAGCTCAGTGTCCTTCATCTGGGCTTCACTCATGATAGTCTAGTCTTCAAAGGGCTAAGGGGACACTTTTCTGTCCTGCTATCCACAGCACACATCACTTGACTCCTAGACTCAGCCTACCTCAAGTCCATAACTGCTTCTGTCCTTGGCAGTCATTCATGGTGTTGGCATCTCTCATCTGCTAGGATCTATACAGATTCCAGCTTCCCCTCATTAATCAAGATAGCTTCCCTTTAAAGTTACCTACAAGCCAATCTAATGGAGTCATTTTCTCAACTGATGTCCCAAAATAAACACTAAAGATAAACTCTGGTGTTTACAAAGCAGGCCCTCCATTTCATTTCTATGTCTAGACAGACCTAGGGGCTCCTTCTATCCACTTATTGAATTTGGCCTTAGCATCCTGAGTCACAATATCTAGGCCTTATGTCTCTTTCATCAACAAGGAATGCTATTACTTACCTTCAACAAATGTCCAATGAATTGTATGAATATTCAGCATTGGGTCCACAGGGTCCTGCAAAAATGGAGATAGTTCACCATAGTCTAATGAACCGGAAGCAAACTTTATTCCAGGAAAAAACAAGAAATTAAAAAAAATAAATGAACATGGGATACCAAAAGCTTATGAGCTAGCTGAGACCACAGTCAGAGATGCATTGGGAAGGCTGTGGCAAAGGCTGTTTTTCGAACTCCTCCTTTTATAGTAAGTATAGGCAATAACTAAAGAATTTTTACAATCTCAAGGTAAAATTCAGATTCAGATTGCCCTTCTTTGCAATTTACATTGCTCAGTTAAACTAGTGTATGTGTTTAGTCCATTGTTTTTCCTTGGCATTCCTTAATAGTATTTACAAAGGTGTTGTACCTCCCCGGACACTGAGAGTTTTGCTTAGCAGGGAAGGGTAGGGGACAGTATAAGACCAAAAAGTCAAAAGTCACATACATCCCATCCTTTAAAACTTAGTTCAGCTCACATCAATTTCTGGTCATGGGTGGCCAAGAGGGTTATCTAAAAGTTGATCCTCAGTTTTCAGAGCAACCCTAATTTTGCAGAGGACTGCTTCACGCTTGCAAATAGAGTTATGGGTTGTAAAGTTGAGTAACCCACTGTTAATAGTTAATCCTGTAGATTCTGAGAAAGCTGCTGACATTGTGCTTTCATTCTTTTAGGCTTACAACTTTGTATTTCTTTATTTCTACATTCTTATTTCTGGAATCTACATTTTGATATTCTTATTCTTGGACTCTTCATTCAGGAAGCTTCACTATTGCCACCTTCTTTGAATTGTATTTAACTTCTGAGGCTTGTGGTTTTGGTTCTCCATGATATTCCCTTCTACGGAATAGCAGGATACCTTGATATACAAGGAATGGTGAAGTTTCCCTGGTCTCCTCATGACAAAAGTTGTACATTTGTTACAGTGTTGAGACTGTGTCGTTGCGGCCTTGATGTTCCCGTGATGCTGTGCAGGGTGTGCTCTGACTTGTGTCCTGCACTAGCTCCATCCTTCCTACAGCACTGGAATTGCATGCAAAGTAGGCAGTTATGCACAACACCTCCTGCCTTTCTATTATAGGGAAAATACTTTGTCATAGGTCACATTCTTCCTGGTGGTGAAAGGCACCTGGAGCCTGTACTTCTCCAGAACTTGCAGCCCAGTCAGGTTGGTGACACTGAATCCAGTCTGTGGTGTGAAGGAACCTGGGTGGAGTCATGTCTTGCCGATGTCTCTTACAGGCGTATCCGTGCTGCTTTAGATTTTTCTGATCATCACCTTTGTGATTTTATATTTTTCTTAATATGGCTCACGAACACCAAGCCACACTTGGATAAGATAAACAAATGATCTGTTTAGGCTTCATACCCCAATTCTAAACTCCTCATTAAGTGTGTGTGTGTGTGTGTGTGTGTGTGTGTGTGTGTGTGTGTGTGTTTATTATTGAGATCATGATGATAGAGGATTCAATTGTTCTCTCTATAAGACTGGGTAAAATTTTCAGTCACAGAGAAAGAGAACTTTAAATTAGGATTTTTTTTTTCCCCAAACATTCCTGATGGAAAAGCTTTGGTGTTTGAAAAGCTGTTTCAGACTTGTCCAGGTTGATCCCTGTGAAGGGAATCATGGCCTTGGAACTGGCTTGTTGTTTGGTTTACCTTAGGCTGCTTCTCTAAGTAGAAGGGATTGCATGGATGAGCTTCCTTGAAGAAAAAAACATACTATTTCCAATGTCAGATTTCAGGTTACAGAATGAGTACACAACAAGCTGGAAAGAATGCAGAGTCTGACTTCCACAGACCACACTGGTCATTAACACAGACAGCAAATGTCAGCGAATTTTTCAGCTGTGCAACAGGGACAAGCTGCCTGGGACCCTTTATATGACCCTTAAAGGGGCTTGGGAATGAGAAAGTTTATGCAGCTTACTGGGCTGTGCATTCGTTTGTAGTTGGTTTTTCCTGAAATTATTTGCCAAAGGGAGACAGAGTGTCTCAGCAGACATTTCTCTCCTTGAATGGTTGAACAAGGCAGGCTGCAGTGTCATAGGAATACTGTGAGTATAACCAAGGCACTCTATCAAATGGAATATTTATTTGTACAGTATTATTCATGGACCTGAGTATTAATTTTTTTTTTACCATTTTAGGTTGTCATTGTCTTTTACCCAGTTTTCCCATTTATTTCTAAATCATTCTTTTCATGTTACTCTGAATGGGATTTTGTACCTGATTTTTCTCTTTAGTCCCAGTATTGATTGGAGTAGATAAATATTTTTGATTATTGAATGTTGATTTTAGATCCTATTATGTTACTGAAACTATCATATGTCACAAAAAAAGTGAATATATTTTTCCAATATATGGGAGAAAAAGGAGCCAAAAAAGCAAAAGCAAGTCTCTGTTAAAGCCTGAAACTGATACAGAAGAGTAAAGTCAAGTGGAGAAGGGTGGAAGAGAAGATATGGATATAAGTGAGCCTGAAGAGAGGCTAGAGGGGAAAGTTAAATCCACTTCAAAGCTGTTAACTGAATCCTCTGAAGAGGCAAAAGAAAGAAGCAGCAATACCAGGACTGAATTAAGTTGAGGTCGCTTCTGGGAAGACAAAACAGGCATTCATTGTGTGCTGTAGAAGGAAAATCAATTTCTGGAGCTTATGTTCAAAATAAAGAGTGCAAAGAAATAGTGCCTCAGGAGAAAGAGGGAGGGGAAATAATGAGCGTAAAAAAAGGCAAAAGCAACTTCATAAGCTCAGCCTGTTGAGGCTCCAGAAAAGCAGAGCACTTCCACGAAGGGAGAAGCTGAAACAGTAGATTCTACAGTCAAGTCAGACGTGGGTGGGGAGGAGCCAAACGATCAGGTGTCTGCCTTTGAGAGTGAACTAGGAACGGCTGTTCTTGAGCAATTGTCAGGGCAAGATGAAGTGTCACCAGTGGTGGCTGCAGAGGCTGGGTCAGATGTCTATGAGAAGCCAGGGCAGGAGATTACAGTTCTTCTGAACAATGGTTCAGTTGATGGACCATCAGCTGTAGGAGATCAGACTCCTAGTGAATCACAGACTTCTGCAGAAAAACTAACAGAGACTAAAGATGGTACTGGTGTATAGAAGGTCAAGGCAGAGCTGGTTCCTGAACAGGAGGAAGCTGTGCTACCTGTAGAAGAGTCTGGGGGAGCTGGAGATGCGGTTGAGACCAAGGTCGCCCAGAAGGCCATGGAGAAAGCACCTGCAGACAAATTTAAGAGAGCTGCTAATGAAGAGACACAAGAGAGAGTCGAACAGATGAAAGAGAGTGAAGAAACTGAAGGCTTGGAGGAAGAAGACAAAGGAAATGACAAGGCTGAAGAAAACACAAATGAATCAGTTCTTGGAAACAAGTTTTCTTCAAGAAAATGAAGAGGAGGAGATTGATAACTTAGAGCTTGCCTGGGATATGCTGGATTTAGCAAAGATCATTTTTAAAAGGCAAGAAACAAAAGAAGCCCAGCTTTATGCTGTACAAGCCCATCTTATACTTGGAGAAGTTAGTGTTGAATCTGAGAATTATATCCAAGCTGTGGAGGAGTTCCAGGCTTGCTTAAGCCTCCAAGAACAGTATTTGGAAGCCATGACCATCTCCTTGCAGAGACTCACTACCAGTTGGGTTTGGCCTATGATTATAACTCTCAGTATGATGAGGCAGTGGCACAGTATGGCAAATCTACTGAAGTCATTGAGAAGAGAATGGCTGTACTAAATGAGCAGATGAAGGAGGCTGAAGGATCATTTACTGAATATGAGAAAGAAATTGAGGAGCTGAAAGAACTGCTACGTGAAATTAGAGAAAGGGTAGAAGACGTAAAAGAGTCAGCACAGTGGGATGTGCATGTTAAGAGGGAACACAGCCTTTCTCCCAAGGGAAAGCGGTTTTGTTCATCATGTATTTTTTCAGTTTTGGGGATTCTTTTTGTATAACTTCAATAAAGATTGTAGGCAACAGCTAAAGCTTTGATGGCCTTTTCTTAAAAATTGGCAGAATATATGCCTTGGGGCAGTAGGTTGTTTTTGTGTATGTGTTTAGTTTGTACATTGCTGTTGGAAACCCACTTCCTGTATAATGTGGAGGTGATCAAATGTGGCTGGAAGCCTTTCATCTTCTTCTGGTGCTATGTTTCTATTTCCAAATACTTGCTGAATTCCATTGTCTTGTACATTTCTTGTACACTTTTATACTACTTTTAGTGACTCTTTAAAGCCTTTGTCTTATTTTTTAAAACTGTTTCTTTTTATGCCTGTCTGTCTGTCTGTACTCTTTGTGTGCTCTCTCATTGAAGGCTATGCACATGTTTGAAACACACTGTGTCTTGTTTAGATGTCTTTTATGTCTGAGTTTGTCCTTTTGTGTATCTGAAATCCATTTCAGAGAAGGAGTGTTTTGTTTTGTTTTGTTTTGCTTTTTTACATGGTAAGGAATATGGTTGCTGAAGCCCTGGATTCTGACTCTGCCTCTCAGCCTTTCAATATGGTGTAGGTACATTTACCATTAGCTCTGCAAACCATGCTCACCACCCCAGCTCCAGCAAGCATTTGCTGCAAGCTTCTCACAACCCCATAAGTGCTCCACACCAGGACCTCTCGAAAGAGCCAGAGCCATTCCTGATAGCAGCATGATCCTGGATGCCATGTATTAAAGCAGCAGTGTCTCTCTTAGCCATCAGCAAACAGACACTATCTGAAAAAATATGGCTACCAAAGAGCTCCAATTGATTCCTGTTTTTGTGGGTCCAGGAGCCCTTTTTTTTTTAACACTTTCTTAGGCTTTACATAGATGTATGTTTCCAAACATTGGGCATCATTATATAGCTACAAATATTCTCCATTCCTCTGGTTGCCCCAGACCAGTTTCTCTCCACCCACTGCTTCCTGCTCACTAGCTCCTACAGCTGCTTATGAAATAACCACTCTGAGGCTTAATATTAATTATGTGCTCCTTGGCCTATTAGCCTTCTTAATAGTTAACTCTACATGTTCAGTTAACCCATGTCTATTAATCTCTGTGTCACCATGAAGGTGTGGTTTACTGGGAAAGTTTTGGCATCTTTCTCCTTCAGCAGCTTCATGGCATCATTTTGACTCCACCTTTTCCATCCTCTATCTCTGCTTGGATTTCCACCTTGCTATACCTTATATCAGGCTTTTCCTCTGGCTGTCACCAATTATTCTGAGGAAAGTGACTTAAGGCAGAAACAGTTTATTTCATATCGCAATTGAAGAGTCTCATTTTTAAAATTAAGAAGTGTGAAGCTGCAATTAAATGACACACTAATAAATAGTAAATGAGGCAGTGTGTCATCAAGTAATCAAGATAGCATCCCATATTCTTCAGTAAATCCTATTTGTATAATGATTAGAAGTTTTGTAAGAAACATATATACAAGATGATTATGTATCCTTTCAGTCCATCAGTGAAAATCAATCATTCTAATTAATATATGTACTCTTAGATTCCAGTAAATATTGAGGATGTGGAAGTGAACTTCACCTCAGAGGAGTGGGCTGTGTTGGATTCAAGTCGAAAGAAGCTCTACAGAGATGTGATGAAGGAAACATTTTTGAACCTGATCTCCATAGGTAAAAGTACTACATGCTCCCATTGCTTATTCAGTCAGTGAACAACTGTGTCCTTGATGTGGGCGTCCCCTTTGTGTGCTGTGAGTACCATTAATAAATGAAGACCTTTGGTCTGTTGATAGGGCATTACTTAGCTAGGCGGTGCGGACAGGACTGAATGCTGGGAGAAAAAGGGTGGAGTCGGGGACGCCATGGATCTGCTGTCAGACATAGATATGCTAAGACTTTGGTGGTAGGCCACGACCTCCTTGTGAAATACAGATTAAAAGAAATGTGTTAAATGTGTTAAATTAAGATGTAAGAGTTAGCCAATCAGAATCTAGAGCTAATGGGCCAAGCAGTGATTTAATTAATACAGTTTCTGTGTAATTATTTTGGTTCTGGGCAGCTGGGCCGCACTAGTGGCTTGATCTATTCAGCATGTCCTACTTATGTGTGTTATGTTGGTACTGAGTTCCTGAAGTGAAAATGTGGTGAATTTAGTGTGTATACCCATATCATAAGAACTAGGTTGCAATAATTTTTATGTTGAATATGACTGTTATAATGTATTCTCTGGATTTTATTCTAGAAAAAGCACTAGAAGAATATTTTGAAGAGGACTCTAAAGATCTCAACAGGAATATGGGGTAATTTATATTCGGTAGAAAATAATTTATATTATACATTTGAGATTCACGGGACAACTGAGAACCTGCCACATGCTCCAAATATACCTAAGTGAAAAATGATTCTGCACAAATTCCTTGAATGGAGCACTGAACCGTGACATTCAATATTTGTGTATTTCATGTATGTAATCTATTAATATCACAAATATGTCACATGAGACTGAGCCCAGAAGAAGGTTTCCAGTGGATTATTACACAAAACATCCCATTATATGCAAAGGTTTTACTTTCTGTTCATACTTATGAGGCTTTGAGCATCAGTACTGTGCTTGGTTTGCTTTCTTTTGCTGTGACTAAAAAGAAAAAAGAAAAGACCAACTCTGTGGTGGAGGACAATTTTATCCTTCCTGTCACAGTCCCTTCATAAAGGGAAGCCAAGGCAGGAACTGAAGCATGGCAGAAATCTGGAACCAGGCACTGAAGTACAAGTGAAGGAGAAATCCTGTTTACTGGAGTGATCTTCATCCCTAAATCAGCTACGTGCCTTACTCAACCTTAGCCCACATCTCTACGGGGATACCACTCATAGTGAACTAGGCCACTCCATCTCATACAGAGATCAAGACAAAGCTACCAGAGACATGTCTAAATGTCAATCTGATAAAGCCATTTTCTGCTGTCTAGTTCCTTCTTCCCAAATGTGGGTTCTAGTTTGTGTCAAGTAGATCAAAACTAACTAGCATATACATTTCATACACAGAGCCTGATCTCCTGCCCATGGGAGATACCAAACATAATTAACCCCCCTTAATCAGGAATGTGAAAATGCTCATACAGATGTTGTATCCAGGCCAATCTGATTGAGTCATTTTTCAATTGAGGGACCCTGTTCTCCTATGACCGTAGATGGGTATAGATGATAATTAGCTAACTCTCACTGGCTGAGTATTTAGAATGCTGACATGCCACAGTGGTTCACCACTTCATGTGCCTGTCATTTTGTCTACAAACACCAGGACTTTTTCCTTTCTGTTCACTCCTTTTATAACTCTTAATTATTTTATATCTTTTCGTGTCTGAGTTATGTTTTTGTACAACACCTTTGACAAAAATTTTGTGGAATGCAGAAAATGCAAGAAATTCTTCATATCAAGTGTATCAAAATTTATGAAATCTTCACATGAATCCTTGTCATTATATCTGGTTTACTTACAAATTGAGAATTGTTCTTAACATCTAAACCTATGATACAGCTCCTTTTAATTGTTCGAGAAGTAAAGTCAGTTCCCTACTTCTTCACACATGGCAGGGTCTTTTCGTGCAAAACATATTGTCATTGACATTGATACCATTATTGTCTTCCCTCTGAGATAGTATTGTTGTGTTCCACACAGGCCAGCCTCCAATATTTCTCCTGGGTTTCAGTATTGCTTTTCTCATTTTTTTTTTTTTTTGCAGAATTCAGAGGATTGAGAAAGACCATGGATATGAATGTCATACTGAGTGTGATAAAAACCAGCAAACTATTCCTGAGATTATAATCAATAAAGACACGCCATCCAGAGTAAGAGCTCATGAGACTCCATTACATGTAAGAAACATTATTGGTCATTTATCCTTACATGGGTATCTCAGAGGAAAAACTAGAGGGAAACCACTCCTGTATAAGGGAGCTGTGGAAAAAGCTTTTACACATAAGAAACATTTGAAAGATATCAGTTATTCAGAATCTCTTCAGGTACTTGAAACTTCTCCTAAAGAGAAACCCTGTAAGATTCAACAATGTAAGGAAGTCTGTAGGAGTCTGTGTTTAGATCAGTCTCAGGAGAGAACTTATACTAGAGATAAACTCAATGAGGATGTCTTCATGAGATACACACAGGGACAGAATGATGAACAAAACCATAAAGAAGTGAAACAATTTGTATGTAATCTCTGTGAAGAATCCTTCATTAATTCCAGTGACCTTACCATCCATGAAAAAAGTCATATTGAAGAGAAAAGAAACATTTGTAGGCAACGTAGCAAAACATTAAAATATGCACCATGTTTTGAGAAACAAAAAGTAACTCACAAAGAAGAGAAGCCATATGATTCTATACATTACGGAAATGCCTTCACCCAATTCAGTCATCATAACAGTCATGAAAGCAGTGACACTGGACAAAAGCATTATGCCTGCAAGCATTGTGGAAAAAATTTCACCAGTTCTTCTTATCGAAACATTCATGAAAGAATTCACACTGGAGAGAAACCTTATGCATGTGAGCATTGTGGAAAAGCCTTCAATAACCGCAGTAGTCATAACAGACATGAGAGGAGCCACACTGCAGAGAAACGTTATGCGTGTAAGCATTGTGGAAAAACCTTTTTTTGTTCCAGTAATCTGAATACCCATGAGATAATTCACACTGGAGAAAAGCCTTATGTATGTAAGCATTGTGGAAAAGCCTTCAACCACCCCAGTAGTCGTAACAGACATGAAAGCAGCCACACTGCAGAGAAACCTTATGCCTGCAAGCATTGTGGAAAAAATCGTTTTTCTGACATAGTCATGTGAATATCTATAAAATTACTCACATTGGAAAAAAACTCTTAAGTAAGTAAGCATTGTGGAAAAATCATTTAATAACCTCAATAGCTGTAACAGTTGTGGAAGGAATCACACTGCAGAGACACCTTATTCATTTAGGCATTGTAGAAAAGGCTTCACCAATTTCAGTTCCTTAAAGACTCAATGAAAGAATTCACATTAAACTAATTCTTAAACATTTAAGCATTGTGAAAAAGTTTACCTTCTCCGATCACCTGAACATTCATGAAAAGATTCACACAGGAGAAAAGTCTTGAGCATGTAAACATCTTGGAAAAGTCTTTAGTGACCTCAGTAATCAAAACAGTTATGAATGAAGTCACACTTTAGAGAAGACTGCCTGCCTGAAAGGATCAGTTTGTCCTGGCAGGACGGCCCAGAAAGCCGGCATTTTTAAACGGTGGTGCAGCCTTCCTGCAACAGCTGAAAACCGAAAAGCATGCATTCAGCTATTCATCAACACTGTTTAAGTGCTTCGTGGCCGAACATCTTAAAAGAGCTGCAGAGTTTTGCAGCTAAAGCTTAGTCAGGAAGCCTCTCTTAGGTGAGAGCACTTGCTTGCCTCTAGCAAGCAGAGCAGACCTGAGAAATTGCTGCTACCAAGAAACCATGCGCAATGCTGTCATTTTGTTCTATAATTACCTTAAGTGTATTTTGGCTGTTTATAGGTCTTCTGTTGAGAATTCTCTGTTCATTTCAATACCCCATTTTTAATTGGGTTATTTAGAATTTTAATGTCTAGTTTCTTGAGTTCTTTATATATTTTGGAGAACAGACTTTTTCTGATGCGGGGTTGGTAAAGATCTTCTCCCATTCAGTAGGATGCCTTTTTGTCTTAATGACAGTGTTCTTTGCTTTACAGAAGTTTCTCAGTTTCAGGAGATCCCATTTATTCATTGTTGCTCTTATTGTCTGTGCTACTGGGGTTATACATAGGACGCGGTCTCCTGTGCCCATGTGTTGCAGTGTACTTCCCACATTCTCTTCTGTCGGGTTCAGTGTGGTCAGATTTATATTGAGGTCTTTAATCCATTTGGACTTGAGATCTGTGCATGGTGATAGATACGGATCTGTTTTCATTCTTCTACAGGTTGACATCTAGTTATGCCAGCACCATTTGTTGAAGATTTTTTTTCTTCCATTGTATAATCTTGGCTCCTTTGTCGAAAATCAGGTGTTCATAGGTTTGTGGGTTAAAATCCGGGTCTTCGATTCGATTCTATTGGTCAGCATCTCTGTTTTTATGCCAATACCAAGCTGTTTTCATTATTGTAGCTCTGGAATGGAGTTTGAAGACAGGAATGATAATGCCTCCAGAAGTTCCTTTATTGTATAGGATTATTGGAGGGGGGAGGGCCTTGGATTTCCCACAGGGGAGACCACCCTACCCTCTATTAAGGAGGGAGTGGGAGGGAGGAGGGTGAGTTGGGGAACAGGAAGGGAATGGGAGGAGGGGAGGCAGTGTAAATTTTTGAATGGAAAAATAAAAAAAAAATTTTCTATAAAAATACATATATTAAGATATATAATTTCAATTTGTTAATTATACCTTAATAATACTTTGGAAAGTGAAAAAACAAAAAAAAAGAATTAAAAATCAAATGTAATTCACCTACAGATAGTACACTGTCACATAATGTTCTTATTAGTTACTTTTCGGCATGCTCTACGAAGAAATTAAAAATATCACAAGACAAGAGAGGGGAAACTAATTAGCACTGAGTTCTGTGCCTCCACAAGCAATAGTTGTCATTATGTGTGCTGATATCACAAGACATTTCTCTCACAAGACTGACAAAGTTTCAACTTTGCATCCAGTACACATAGAAAATCACCTGTGTGCTTTAAGCACAATAGATTTTCAAACCACCCAATCTCCTAATGATTTCCATACATATTTGACCACCAGACATCAGCTGCAAAGGCTGTGTGTTGCCTAACTGATGATTATTCTCACCATGGTAGCTTGTTGGAAGTGCACATGTATATGTATCTAGTCTGGGAACTTCATCATCCCTCTATGCTATCTCTTTTTACTCTTTTGATTTATTACCTTATTCCATCTCTTGAAAATTAATCTCTAGCCAGGTTTTGTCTTGCTCAATTTCCATTTGTTTGATGGGTAGGTCAGTAAATATCTTCAATACCAATAGTAAGTTAAATTTTGAAGATTTTTGTTATTGACTTGCTATTTAGCTAAGGCTTGCCTTGAAGTTGCCCCTTGCTTCAGCCTCCCAAGTGCGAAAATGGCAGCAATGTCTATTCTCAGTCATGTGGAAGTGATAATTTTCACTTTGTCTTAGAATTTCGTGTATGAAGATATTACAGAACAATGAACTTACTAAGAACATAAGTGTGGAGATGTGTCAGCAGTATAGATAGAGCTCTTGTGTTCTTGTGGATGGCAGAGTTCTTTGCCCAGCAGCCATGTTGAGTGGCACAAAGACACACACACAGTTATAAATATTTTAAAAGAATGCAGTCTAATTCCTATGGTTTCTTTATGTTAGAAAGACCCATTGCTTTACTTCTACTGATATCCTTTGTGTTGCATAATCCCAGGCAGAGAGGCAAACGATCATGTGTGACAGGAAATGATCAAGAGACTAACTCATTCTGTGAGCCAACTCTAGGGATAATTCATGCTGTTCCTTTAATATTGTGAGAAGTAAAGGGACGGAGAGTGGGAGATGACGAGAAAGAGTGTCAATGTAAATTTACGTGCATGTGTCCCATACCAAATATATGGTGGTCACGGGACTACAGAGCAGACCTGTACTGTAGACTAGTCTCTAATAATGACACTGTGGCGCAAATGAGTACTGAATTTATTAACAATGTTGTCTCTATGGTTTCAAAGTATGGTTACAAACTAAGTTTGTATTGGAAAATTAGATGGACTTTAGAAAATTAATGTTAGGTGTCATAGTGTACTAATAAATTTTATTGCAAATTTATTCCAAGTTCCCTTGAAGAGTGAACTTCAATTTAGAAATTGTATTGGTCAGTACAGCCTGTGACCATCCATGTCTTTGAGGGATTCTTTTGATTGGTGGCTGGGGGACTAGTACGTTTTTTGGCACCACTCTCACATGGCAGTTGTTCCGGTACTATGTAAGAAAGTTATCTGTTCATGATCCAGTCTACAGTGGAACCACTAATCAAGTTTTCCATGGTTACTGCTTGTCTTCCTGCCATGGATTTTCTCAGTGTTGGACTGTGACATGGATGTGTAATCCAAATTAACATTTCTTCACTATGTTGCTTTTGGTCATGGCATTTATCACAGCACCTAAAAGCAAAATAAAGCACATACTAATTTCAGGAAAATATTTCATGGGTCCTATTCTTCAAAGATATTGTTGGAGATTTTATAAGTGATTAAATTCCAACTGTTTGATGTTGATATAATCCAAAATGGTAGCTTTGATATAAGAATGTTACTTTGTACAGCCTTGTTTCATTTTCCTTTTCTATTGTATCTTGAGGAGAGGACTATGTAGATTTAGTTGCCTTTTTCTTTGCTGCAGTATAATCAACGAATAAAAGTTATATCTCCTGCTGGGTGGTGGTGGTGCATACCTTTAATTCCAGTACTTGGGAGGCAGAGGCAGACAGATCTCTGTGAGTTCGAGGCCAGCCTGGTCTACAAGAGCTAGTTCCAGGACAGGCACTACAGAGAAACCCTGTCAAAAATCTAAGAAAAAAAAAAGCTTATATCTTCTCTCCCACAGTCTTAGTTCTCTCCAAGTATTTATTTTCTCATATTTTCTCTAATCTTGTTGACATAATCTTAAATTTTTCAGTCTTTTTTATTGAAGAAAGGGATTACATGAATGTAACAGCAAACAAGGAGACTGGGAAAGCATGCAGATTAATTGGTATGTTGGAGCCCTGCAGGTCAGCAATTGCTTACTCTGCTATAAACGATGACCAAGATATGCTCATGTGAGTGAGGAAATCTGTAAGCATGATAGAAGTAAGGTCTAAAAGAATGT